AGTGATCAAGTAACAATAATAAGGGAATTTCCCCATAAGAAAGGCTTTGTCTGGGGAAGACCATACCACACCCCGAGTCAGAATGGGACTGCACAATCGCCGACAACAGGCACATTGACAACAAAGAACCACACGTTATCTGAAACACACACACACACACACACACACACACACACACACACAATATGCTGGCCTAGTAAGGCAGTCACAAACCTAATTTCACAATCTATAGAGACCTATTCATTTGAAGAAAGAAAGTTATTCTTCATCAAATAATGAGACTTCCCACCAACTGGCAGACGTACTCTTTAAATGCTATTGTTTACCGGATAGCAGTCACTGGGAGGAAAGTAGTGGGAAAAGGTGTCAATGTCATCATAGGACGACCACAGATTTCTAATTGATGCCACAAAGGATTCCTAAGTAGGAGAGGGAAAAAAGGGGTCCCCACATATAAACCTAAAGGACTAGTGTGAAGGAAGAGTGGAAAATTACTGAATACCAGCAACGGCATCAGAATAGGTACATTTACTTCTCAAAACACATCCATTATTAACATTTGAATCCTATCAGTGGTTCCTATACCCCTCCCTCTCTCCCCCATCACCACCCACCCCTCCCCGCCACCAGCCCAACAACAGCAACCACAAAGCTGGCCGGCGGTCCTTATTCTTGCTCCCTGATTTTATCACAGGGCGTGTCCCCCAGGGCCAGCCAGGGTGCAGGGAGTAAGAAAGAGGCAACCACCACAGTGTTTGGAAGGCTCTTTAATAGCAAGCGTATGGTAATTACATCGTTGGATGAGGTCCCCTCTCCCGGGAGAAAGGCCCAGGTGTGGACAGGGTCCCGTTTCGGATTCACACGGCTGGAAGCGTCTAACGAAGGGCAACAACGGTTGGCAACCCATTTCACAGTTTTGTCATTTACAAGAGATTTCTTTGAAAGGAAACGAAAGGGAAAGAAAGCATATACACCCTGTTGTTTTGTTTTCTGCCTAAGAAAAAACCCCAAACGTTTCCTTGCTTATGCTTCTCATTCGATGGCTAAACTGCTTTTGTACACAGACGCAGACTGTTCACAGAGAGTCTCAGATTCGTTCTCGAATTGACCATTTACGCTCTCCCCCAAGGAGCTGCTCCGTGCACAGAGTCCTGCTCCCTTCTTCGTCCGCACGGCCACCAGAAGGTGCTTCCAGTGAAAAATAAATCTTCAGAAACAGAAATGAGAGAAAAGAAAAAGCCAGGGAAAGGCAGTTCTACCAAGAACAGACTGTCAGCTTTCTCTGCAGCACCGAGCCTCTCGAACACACAGTTCTCAGTAAATGAAATGTTTATTTTCCTGTGGCCTGGTGCCGCGTTTAACTGCTTATGCCTCCTCAGCCTCACAATGCTTTCAATGGGCTAACGCGAACTGTTCACAGCTCCTCTATTTTTGCAATCCAAATCTAAAAAAATATCAAAGACAACATATTATTTGACAATTTGCCCAATGAACGTGAGCTGGAGCTATTTTGCCATGGGCACCACGTTGCCATGGACACCAGAGGCTACTGGCATCCTGGCGAGTGTGAGAATGATGCTGCATCAATCTGAAAGACTTCAGCCTTTCCTGTGGTACCTGGTCTCACAAAGCCAAGATAGCGGGTTGAGTCTTTAAGGAAGAGGATTCGTTTTTCATTCAGAAAAGCTGTCGGCTTCTCTGGTAACCTGAAGATGAAGCCGCTGGCACTGGCATCTTGAGTTAACACTCACTCTAGGGGAGAGGGACATGCACCCCGCCTGAGCTTTAATTGTGCTCTTCCTACAACCCTGGAGCTGGGTGCAGTGGGTGGGCTCGCCCTCAGCCCGTGGGAGGGGCGTTTCCAACCCTAGGTCTCCTCAGCAGCTGGAGCAAGACCAAGTTGGGTTCCCGTTCAGCCTGGCATGAGATTGGCGCCTCTCTGAGGCCTGTTAGCACTTCGGACAGATGGTCTTCCCTGGCTGACAGCTGGCTGACCCAGGACAAGGACTCCACCAAATTTACGGGACCCTTGCCATCTCCCTGGCTGGGAGGCATTTTCAAACGCAGACCTTGCCTCTGAACACTTGGGCAGGCAGCCCCTTTGAGCAAATCAGGCTCCTAGTGGGACAGCACGCAAAGAGTGTTCCTGGGCCTCACGTGATAACTGCCTCCTGGCTTTTTACTTTCTTTTTTAAAGACCCAGACCCGAATTCTGCCTTACTCATCTCCTCCCACCCCAGGCTGAAGTCCTGCCTGCTCCCGCGTGCTTCCCAAGTGATGGGAACTCCCAAGTCGCGGGAAGCTGTTGATGCCACAATTTCCCAACATGTCTGTCATCACATGCAAGGCAGAGTCCGGTGCTGTGGCACCGCAGCTCCCCAGGTCCACACACGTGTGCTCCGAGGAAACAGAAACGATCTTTGGAGACGTGACTGTGCCCGAGAATGGCTTCTGCTCACGTGAAAAGCGGCAGTAATTAGGGAGGTCAGAGGTCTCCACTTAAGCACGCCAGGAACGCATGCTGGCACCAGGACACATGGGGCATTCCTAAGGAAGAGGCCTGCTGTTCTAGTCACTGAAGAACAAGGACTACGTGCTGCTCTGAGCCTGGGGGCCTGGGGTGGGTCTCACCTCCTTCCCTGGCTCCATCATTCACTCTCTGATTCCCCGAAGTCTGCTCAGGGTGGTTACCAGAGAAAAGTAACCAGTAGCCCTCAGAAACATGTCTCCGTGACTCACTCCACTCCAGGACCAAGGTGTGGTAAGGTCATCGCAGGCCCGCAGCGACCAACAAGCAACCATTCCCTGTTCACACACCTGCACACTCACTCACACAGATACACACACACACTCACTCTCCACTGGATGAGATGGCAAGAAAGTCAAAGTCACCCCTTCCAGCTATTCCTCATGCAATTTCCCCTCTCAGTTAAGTTAAAGTTACTCCACTTCCAAAGCCGCAATCTGTCAGGGCACAACTAAAACGACACCTCCCACAGGCAGAGCATGTACAGCGGAGACAAGTCTGGTTTCTGTAACTCCTGGGGCCTGGCTCTCACTAAGGAGCAGTTCCATCAGCCCCGCAGGGTCAGGTCCCAGGGGGTGTGGGCGCTCACAGACCAACAGAAACCCGTTCTAAGGTAGCCCGGGATCCTAAGGACAGTGAGATTCTGAATCTATTTCCTGCTCATTTCCCTTGATTGTTGCTCTTCAGACCCACACACATCTTAAGGCAGTTGTGGAAGAATAGTGGTTAAAGCAGGAAGGGCAAAATCCCTTATTTCAGGCCAGTTAAGTGACTTGCCCAAGGTCACGTGGTTACTGGCCGAGTCGGCACGAGAACCCAGGTGCCTCTCCTAACTCCCGGCCAGTGCTCCTCCCACTGTGCCCTGGCACCTCCTGGGAACGTGTGTCTGAGTCTGTGAAAGTCCAGCCATAACAGAGACCGCAGGCTGCCCGACCCAGTGACCAACCAGGTGCAACTGCGCTGTGCCAACCCTAACGCCACACACGCCCCGGACGTGTGTGCGTGTGGCAATGAGCCCTGGAGGGGAGGGACACAGAGAAAAGGAAGTTTAGAGGAAACAATCGATTTGTTAATGCCTTTTGAGGTTTTGCCAGGAAAGTAAGGAACATACAGTGATGTTATCCCCAACCCCTGGGGCAAAACAAATACCAGCTTTCTCCCCAGTCCAATGAACGGCTGAGTCTATTTCAGCTCAATGTTTATAAACACAACAGCCACATGAGAATACCAAAATGCATTTAGTCAAAACCTAACCCCCTTTTAGATAAAAGAACGTTTTACAACCATGTCCATCCCATTTTCAAACATATGCACATTTAGGTTTTGAGCTTCTGGGACACACACATTCCAGTTTACCTTCGAGTGGAGCACACTAGTCGAGCACCTTCATTTCAGCTGCAGAAGGCAGGCAAACCTGAGCAAGAGCTACAGAAGGGGCGGCTTCCCACACACCTGTGCTCAGGCCTGGAGCCAATCAGATCCCAGCGAGCGAGCAAAGCCCTGCTCGAGTTCACCGCATTGGATGAATCATCAAGGTTTGTTTTGTTAATAGGCTCCCTGGAAGGAAATTCATTTGACTTGAAATTAACCTTGACTGTGTTTTCCCAAGACAAGAAAAAATGTGGTTCTGATGCCCGGGTGGAAAGCACTATGTAATTTTACCCAGTGACTTAAAACTGCGGTGCACCATTTGACCACTGAGCAGCCGGGCTCCTCCCAGCACCAATTAAACAGAAAATGCTGAGACCATCAGGTTTACACCAACGTGCCTGGAAGACAGACAAGACTCCCAGAAGCTCTGAAGCCTCTGCGGCTGCTGCTTTTTAAAATTTGTTTAAATCAAAACTTTCACAACCTAACAGGCACGCCTGTTAAAACCATCCCCACCCAGATGCTACGTTTAGCGAAATGTTATAAAAGAGCATTGGCATTCATGTTGTTCGGACCAGAGATGCAGAAGGGCCCAAGAAAAGGAATATTTTGAATAAGTCCATGTTAGCATGACCAAGGGTTTCTCCCAGAAGTATTTGTTGGCTAAAGGATGACAGTCTTTTTGTGATCAAACTTCCCCTCTGAACCAAGCTAACCTGCCATCGAAAGATTCCCACTTTTGTGTCACTTTAAATATTCACTGCAGCCCTGGCCAGTGTGGCTCAGTTGGTTGAGCATCATCCCATGCACCAAAAAGTTGCTGGTTCGCTTCCCAGTCAGGGCACATGCCAGGGACTGTGGACTAGATCCCCAGTAGGGGGTGTGTAGGATGCAGCCCATGGATGTTTCTCTCTCACATCCATGCTTTTCTCTGTCTCCCTTCCCCTCTCTCTCAAATCAATAAAAAAAGTTTTTTAAAAATACACTGCAATTGAATTTTGAAGCACTTGATTACAACTTATAAGTAAATACAGTGGATCATTTTCTTGACTTTTTTTTTTAAAAAAAGAATAAAAGATTAAGAAAAAAGGATTCCATCATCTTTTTTAAAAAATGTTATCCTGGTTTATTTTCCCATTAGATTTATCTATGGCTTCAAAGTTGACGTGGCCCTTGGATTTTTAGATATTTTCATGATTTAACAAGTTGCCATCTCATTATAAAGAGAGAAGGTAAATGTTTCCTGTCATATGTGGGACGGTTTACAGTCTAAAGAATTTGGTAACTGGTGTCGCCCCATTTATATTTTCCACTGTTAAGTCTTGGAATTAGCATGTTTTAAAATAATTGACCAGGCAAGTATGTGTATACAACCAAGAACCAGCTACCACGTCCCCAGGTAACTCAGGACTGGTTGCACACCGGGAGGTCTTCCCTTCCTCCCCTCTTCACCCAGAACTGAGTGGCTCGATCCTTGTCTGCCCTTGTACTTGCACTTGTGCAGTGTAAAGACTAGGTATTAAAACTCATGCTTTAAAAGCAAAAACGTTCACTTACGACACGTCACCAGGTACATACAAAGTGCAGACTGCAATTCTTCTCTGCCATGCTTTCCCTCCATAAAGTCACCTGTGAGGCCTCAAAACACATCCTTAATACAGTCAGAGTTCCCTAGACTCGAGTCAGTGAATGTCAATTCTCCAACAACCGTCAGCCACAGAATGGACTCTAAATTAGAAACGGCCAAGGCTACCGAGACAACGCCATAGACACCCACTGACACGGGAGTCAAATGCAGGTCACTTCTGAGCGTAGCTCATCCCAGATATTTTGTGGTTGTTAAGAAGGTATTTCGTTTTAATTTGGAAGCTGGGAGTCAGGCGTCCTGTTGCTAAGAGCTAGCCCAGGAGCAGCAGGCGAGCCCGCCTCGGGTACCACGGGGCTCACTCCTTGGCAGGTGGGAGCCCTTCCAAGTTTACTGCTGACTGACCCCCATTTGGGGGTGGTCCGCCTCTGGCTCCTCCTCCTCCACGTCTGCACTGTACTCTTCAAACGCGTCGTCGTCAGCATCCGGAAGCCCCAGTAACTGCAGGGAGAGAAGAGAAGCAGCTGTGAGCCCCAAAGGCCCAGGTAGGAAGGCCACCAAAGGCATCTGCTCCAAACTCAGCAGCACTTACAGGACTCAGCACAGCAGCTACGGATTTCCCATGAGAGTCTATCCAACGATTATGTTTATAAACTTATTAGAGGAAGATAACCCTTCAATGGACTGGGGCCCAAAGGGCTCGTTTTTATTGGGGAGCCTGGAGATTCTCTACTTTTAAGCATTAAAACATGACCCCCACCTCCCACCTATGCACAACGATATGCTATCCACGCACACCCACGTATCTGGGATGTTAGCAGTAGTACAATGACCAGTGCGACTGTCCCATCAAGATGTCAAAAATCGATCCCCCTCCTTTTCTCCCCTAAAAGCACAGCTGTTATTATTTATAACACACATGAAGAAATGTGGGAAAACTCCGAAAAGGTTCAACGAAGTGGTTAAATAAATTACTGTATGCCCAGAAGATAGAAATCTTATACAGCCACTTAAAATAGTATTTTTACTAATCTAATGATATAAAAAAATGCTCACAATTGTGAAAAGAATGTGTGTTTACATTATGATACATATTTCTTTAAGTTTATACACAAATGCATAGAAAAAAAAGAGTTCAATGAAATACATCCAAATTTTAAGAGCTTTATTTTTAGGCATTGTGATTCTGGGTAAATTTTTTCCTTTGTGACCTTTTCATATTTTCCAAATGCTCTCTAGTCATCATCAGGGAAAGTCACAATAATCCACAGTAAACATTTTCTTAAAGCACTGGCTGGGCTTTGGTTGGAAACGGAGTGCCATGAGCTGGGCTGCATCGATATGAACAAGAAGCTCTGGTGTTGGCAGGAAGCCGTGACCTTGGGCACTCCTGAGCCTTGTCGGTGATCATGGGCATCCAGCCCCTGGCTCCTCAGTGAGATTACAGCATGCATGTGGCCAAAGGACTTCCTCACAGGGTGACCTCATCCTGGGTCAATCAGTTTGAGGCAACTTCACCAAATGGCCCTATGATCTAAGCTCTAACTGCATTAAGACACTAACATAAGATGGGCCACTCTGTTTGCTTGCACTGCCTCCCTCGTGCCTTTCCACGCCACCCCCACCCCACTCCCTTCCTTCTTCCTGCTCCTTCCAACTCCCTAAGTGAGAAAAGGATAAAAGTGGAGTCCCAATCATGATAATGCTTTGACTGAAGTTCTCAAACCACAACTCTGGCTGGTCTCACAGAGCCCTGTGCACACGCTCAGGACAAGAGCGTCTGCTGGCACTCCTGGTCCACTGTGCATGTGGCCTGCCAGGGCGGCCGCGGCCAACTGCAGACACGTGCCTTCTCCTTAGAGCGCCGAGTACAGAGCTGTCTCAATGGGCCGCTGTCGACTGGAAGCGGTGGAGCAGGAGGAGCACTTCCAGCTGATCCCAATAGTTTGTAACAATCTCTTGAGCGGTTGGGAGAAGGGAGAAGCTCCTTGCCCTGACCACGGCCTCCCTTCCATATCTTAGTGGATGGAATGAAAGATCAAGTTTGACTCTCAAGGGAGAGGAGAGATGGTTGGTACCATGAATGCAGGTGACTCATATTCCGGTGTTCAGGTTTTATTTGAAAATCGAAATAAGTCAGACAGAAAGAGTTAAGAACCATATGAACTAGAATGTGCCTGGGATTCCAAACGATATCACCCAGACACATGACCGTCTAGCATTCCCACCCCTGTCTCCATTCCCATGGATGGCGGCTAAGTCTAAATTTAAAGTCTGGATCCGAATTGTGAACAGTCAAGATCTATCAGAGACAGGAGTGCAAACAGACTGGAGAGAATCCTGGAGCCCTTCCTCTCAACGCACCCACACAGTCTGAGGAGGAAAACGAGACAGGCCAAGAAATCCTGTCGTGTACATTTAAATGACTGCTGGTAGTTATGATCACTTATTCCTTTTCAATCGACTGGAAAAAAAACCTGTATGTTCTCTCTGGACAAGTGTTGGCATTCCCAGGGTCTTGCTGTCCACCAAGCTTCCTCTGAGCAACCTATGAGCACAGAGAATGGCGGTTCTCAACTGTGGGTCACGACCCCTTTGGGGGTCAAACGACCCTTTCACAGGGGTCGCCTAAGACCATTGGAAAACACATATTGAATATATAATTACATATTGTTTTTGTGATTAATCACTATGCTTTAATTATGTTCAATTTGTAACAATGAAAATACATCCTGCATATCAGATATTTACATGACGATTCATAACAGTAGCAAAATTACAGTTATGAAGTAGCAACGAAAATAATTTTATGGTTGGGGGTCACCACAACATGAGGAACTGTATTAAAGGGTCGTGGCACTAGGGAGGTTGAGAAGCACTGACATAGAACTCCTGGGGCCCATCCACCCCCCAACAGGATTGTCCGAGATGGTAGAGATGCCAACCCTTGAATTAAAGTTCCATAGACCCAAGAGAGCATGGATTAACTGAAGAACTGAATAGAGGCTTTTTGGAAAGTGGTATAAACGAGTTGAAGCCACATTCAATATGGAGATGCTAAAGCAGTTGGGGCATTTGCCACCATTTATCTTACTGATCGTAATGCTGCTGGTACCAAGAGACCCAAGACCCGGGCAGTCTGTCTTCCTGATATGAGGAAAAGGAGAGGCAGGTGGCGAGATGACTAATGGGCAAGAGTAGTTGCCACTCTCTTACTTTTAGGGGCCATTGTATTTTCTGAAACACACGCACAAGGTTTGTTTATAATATAAGGTGAGCGAAAAACAAAAGCCATAATCAACTTAAACTGGCACACGGCTTGGTTCAATTCCCGGCCTGGGTGCCAGCCCTCCTCCTGCGCTGAGCAAGTCCGGATCCTGCCCTTTCTCCAGGCCCCATCTCCTCATGAAGCCCCCGCCGGCTCTGCGTTACTCAGCGAGCCCACTCACCCTTGGCACTCCTAGCCCTTCTAGCACAGCGTAGACCAAGCATGTCAAACTCGTGGCCCACGGGCCACATGCCTCGTTTATTTGGCCTGTCTTAGCCTTTGAGCTTGACATGCTTGGTGTAGACAAAATTAGCTTTTTTAAAAAACACAACATCATTTCTGATTATAAATGTTTTCTGTGACATCACAGACAATTTAGAAAATACAGAAAAGAAGAACATAAATATCACCCATCACCCTGCCACCCAGAGGCTCTGTGGTCAGGCGCCCCCTGGGGGATGGAGTGTCCCTTATAGCACTAGGAGGACGAATGCATCTAACACAGTGGGCCGTACGCATTAGCTATTGAATGGTGGTTATCATTTTGCCCAAACCAATGGTGATAAACTTTTGACTATAATACCACATCAATACCTCTTTCCATCCTTTACGGTAGCCAGGTGCCTCTGTTAAGCATGTGCTGACAGCACTTAGCAAATTGGTTTTTCTCTCCACCAAGAACCTACGAGTCCTATACAACATTTCACGAAGTCCTGCTCACTTCTCAACAGTATTCTAGTGTTGTAAATGCTGTCCTAAGTACCCCACGAGAAATGCATCATTTAAGCATCACAGCAACCCTAAGACAACGACTGTCATTGTTTCCTAATCTGACAAATGAAGAAACTGAGAAACAGAGAGGTTAAGTAACTTGGCTAAGGTCACACAGCCATCAAGTGGCAGAGCTGGGATTTGAATCGCTGCCCCAGAGCCCGGGCTGCTCATCAATGAAGTATCCTCATTCTACATCACTGGGGAGAGACCACAAACAACACCCTGAAGTTCACATTGCTAATGTCCTCCCAGGAAACAGCTCCCTAAAGACCCAGCAACGCAGAGAACGCAGAGCAGGGACTGGACTCTCGGCGTGTTCTACACAGAAAGCACCCGGCAGAGCGTCTGGACCAAAATAAATACTCTGTCTTGTAACATGGAGTTTCTCGGTGGTTTCTGTGTCTGTCTCTCCTTCCACAGCCAGCTCCTTGGGGGCAAGAGCGGGCATTGTGCCCTGCCCTCACTCTCTAAGCAGAGCTGGGATTTGAATCGCTGCCCCAGAGCCCGGGCTGCTCATCAATGAAGTATCCTCATTCTACATCACTGGGGAGAGACCACAAACAACACCCTGAAGTTCACATTGCTAATGTCCTCCCAGGAAACAGCTCCCTAAAGACCCAGCAACGCAGAGAACGCAGAGCAGGGACTGGACAGAAAGCACCCGGCAGAGCGTCTGGACCAAAATAAATACTCTGTCTTGTAACATGGAGTTTCTCGGTGGTTTCTGTGTCTGTCTCTCCTTCCACAGCCAGCTCCTTGGGGGCAAGAGCGGGCATTGTGCCCTGCCCTCACTCTCTAAAGCAGGGCTTGGGCAAAGGCAGGTGACCGACACATATGGTTGGAAATGTGATGAAGTAGAGGAAAAAGAGTAAAATGGCAAAAAAGGATAACTTTTAATTTTCCTTTTCACATCCAACAGTGGATTTATTGGGGTGGTGGTGGTTTTCAGTGGAGGGAGGGCAAACAAGAGAAAGGGGGAGAAGCGCAGCCTACAGAGCTGGTGTGTGGAAACAGGCAGAGAGCTGCCGTGGCCTGCTCAGCCTCCGGGCAGGACGGCTGGGGAAGGCCAGGTGCTGACCCCGCCCTGGGCCCTGCACGCAGGAGCGCACGGCTGCAGCAAACTTAATTGACTCTGCTTGACTGATGCCCCAACGGCAGCAGAGGGCTGTCAACAGATGGATCTTATCTTTCTAGAGAGACTGCACAGGGCAGGGCTGGCGATGGGCTGGCCAAGGGAAACAGGACTCACAGCCAGGGAGGAGGCTGTTCTGCGGTGAAAGTGTTCCTCACGTGGCTTCCCCGACTGCAAACAAAAGCACCACGTTTTCAGGGAGACGATGTGCTGACGCTCACCTGCTTGACCACCCTGTAGCACTGGGGCATGTGCTACTCCAGCAAACACTTTCCGCTACAACAGCGACAAGACCCTCCCTGTGTCTTATTTCTAAATGCAACCTCCCTTAGGCAAAACAAACAGGTAGCTCTGGCTGCTATGGCTCAGTTAGTTGGGCATCGTCCTGTGCACCAAAAGGTTGCCAGTTCAATGCCTGGTCAGGGCACATGCCTGGGTTATGGGCTGGGTCCCTGGTTGGGGGGCAAGCAGGGGACAGCTCATGGATGTTTCACTCTCACATTGATGTTTTTCTCTCTCTCCCTCTAATAAATAAATAAACAAATAAATAGAAATGTGAAAAATCTATTTGAACCAAGTGGGCTTAGAAATTTTTAAAAATAAAAAACAAATTGGTTAGATTAATGATACAAATCAACAAAGTGTGGACAAAAGCCACTAAAATTCCAATTCTTGTAGTAATAGTGGGTTAACTGATTGGGACCAGCTCTCCCACAGGGAACCAAAAGCTGGATTAACTATGGAAAGTGCCTTCTTGGATACATTGAGGAATTCGGACCTAGAGGGGTAAACCTGCTTCTGTCCTGAGGTCCTTGCTGACCGAGGAGAAGCAGCTAGAAATCTGACTAAATGGCTGGCCTATGCTAAGAGCAGGGGGACCAGACAAACCCAGGGTCTCCCAGAGGAGCAAACTGTGATGAACCATCCCCACAGTAAGCTGGGACCCCACAGGCCTATACCTTTGCTTCCGTCTGAATGTCTGTGCCTGAAGTTCATGTTGAAATTCTAACCCTTGAGGTGTTGGTATGAGGAGGTGGGGCCCTTTGGGAGGTGGGAGGTGATTGGGTTGGGAAGGTAGATTCCTCATAAATGGAGCCAATACCTTATAAAACAGGCCCCGGAGACAGCTCTCTCCTTCCACCGGGTGAGTGACGATGAGGAGATGGCTGTGACCGGGATGCGGGCTCTCACCAGACACCAAGTCTCCAGGCCACTGATGGTGCCTTCCCGGCCTCCAGACTGAGAGAAGTCCATTTCTCTTGTTTCTAAGCCACCCAGTCTGTGGTAGTTGTTTAGGAGCCTGATGGGTGTGGGGGTGGGGCCTAAGACAGCTCTCAGGACAAGGATCAACTAGGAGGAGGCAGCCCTGCAGCCTGGCTTGGCATCTCCTGCAGAGTCTGAGAACCACAGGCCTGCCATGGTTCAAAGGCATTCTCAGGCCAATCGGCCTAAGCCCTGGCAGAACAAACAGCCCCCACTTCACCCCCTTTATGAAGGTACCTTCATTGTGGGCCTCAATTTATTCCTATATATAAATTTTCAAATACATAAATCCAACGCCCAAAGAAACACAATAGCAGGAGTGACAACAGTCAAAACAAATGGCAACAAACAGACTTACAAACCTTGAAATACTGGACTATCAAACACAGGCTCTCTCATGCAACCATGCCTACTATGTTCAGAGAAATTGAAGACAAGCTTGACAATTTCAGCAGAAAACTGCACACTGTTTTAAAAGATTTGAAAAAGAAATGAATAGAAATTCTAGAGCAAATATCCTGACCACATAGAGTCCAGAGGGCAAGGAACTGAACTCGGCAGAAGTGTGGGCCCACTGGCTCTATCTTCCAATAATGATACAGGGAAACAGGTCACTTTCACAATTGGGTGAGTATTCATTTTACATGCTTTTCAGTAAGAATGAAGGTACTGCTAGCTAGACACAAACATAGATTCTTAAATCCTAACGGGTGGTGGTGGTTGGGTGGACAAGCTCTCTATGGTGAGTTTATAAAGAGAAAAAAATGGGACCCTTGCCTTGGCTAGTTTGGCTCCGTGGATAGAGCATTGGCCTGTGGACTGAAAGGTCCCCGAGTCAATTCCAGTCAAAGACACATGCCCAGTGTGGGGTATGCAGGAAGCAGCCAATCAATGATTCTCTCATCATTGACATTTCTATTTCTCTCTCCATCTCCCTTCCTCTCTAAAATCAATCAAAATATATTTAAAATAAATAAATTTTAAAAAAAAGAATAGGACCCACACCCAATGTCATGCCCACAGGTGTGGAGGTACCTCCTTTGTGTAGCCTTCTGGCCGCCCCCTGAATATAGGCCTCACCATTATAAGGACCTGCAGCGCACTTCCCAGCAAGTTGGCTGTAAAACTCCTGGGTGAGGACAGGGATACTCAGTTGTCTCACGAAGGCTGTTTGCTTCCCACCCTATCAGCGATGCTTAACTCCAGTGATGCTAGAAATAACCCTCGTCCCTACACCGAACAGCTGTGTCACATCCCGTTCCCCCTCCCTCCCGCCCTCAGCCACCCTCCAGAGCTGCTATCTTTAAGCCACCAAGCAGACAAGAGACAAACAATTAGTCATCCCAGATTTTGCCCAATTTCCCCACGAGCCACATTTTTTCAAAGGGCAATCCGGGTAGAAAAGAAGGGCTTTAGAAGCCGGGCAGGCACCTACGGGTCTGAAAGACTTGAAGACTTTTTCCAAGACTTCCTGGAGCGTCTTCTTGCCGCAGGAGGAGATGTAGTCCTGTGCGAGCTGCAGGAAAGGCAGGCAGTCCTCGCTCTCACTCCACACGTGCTGGTGCCCAGGGGCGAGGGAGAGGAGAAAACAAAGACACAGTCATTACACGCAGTGTGAATCCAGAACGCCTGAGAGAGCGTTTCCATCACAGGAACTGGAAGAAGACCCCCATTCCAGAGTAAGATGCATATGGTCACTGACTTGCTTGCTCTGAAAGGGATCGGAAAATGCAGACCCTATTGCCCAGCCAGTGTGGCTTGGTGGCTGAGCATCGACCTATGAACCAGGAGGTCACCGTTTGATTCCCGGTCAGGGCACATGCTTGGGTTGTGGGCTCGATCCCCAGTGTGGGGCATGCAGGAGGAGCTGATCAATGATTCTCTCTCATCATTGATGTCTGTCTGTCTGTCTGTCTCTCTCTCTCTCTCTCTCTCTCTCTCTCTCTCTCTCTCTCTCTCTCTCTCTCTCTCTCGTCTCCCTTCCTCTCTAAAATCAATAAAAACATGTTTTAAAAAAAGAAAAGGCAGGCCCTGTGCTCCTGGTCCATAATCTCACCTGCTCAATTTGCAACAGATCTGCTCATGCGTTGTAAAAAGGGCATTGGGGTTGACAGCCCCCACCCATGATGGCCACTGCCCCCCCTTCCAGTGCAGGCCGAGGGCGGCTTTCAACCAGGAGGGAGCAGAAACCAAGGGCCTGCATGATCCTTGACTTTGCCTTTGGCTGTGGCTGAAGGATTAATTAAACATAGTTTGTAACCACTAACTTGGAACAAGACATTCTTTACCCAGATTAGCCTGTGAGTGGGGGTGATGGTAAATTTATTTCAAAATGAAATGAATTTAGGAGAACACACAGATAAGTCATCACTCAGTCACTGGTGGGGAGGGGGTGGTGGAGCCTTCTGAAAGTTCACCTTCCCTTAAAATGCTTTATGAAGGCTCACACCCAAGCTTCACTTCACAATGTGAACCTACACCCAGGGGAGACTGGCTCTAGGTTTTACATTTTTCTTAAGGCTAGACGAGTTTTTCTTTTTCTTTCTTCTTCTTTTTTTTTAATCCCCATGAGGATATCCATTTTAGCACATCTTTAGGACTAGACAAGTCTCTCCCATAAACGTTCCAGGATTTGAAATAAGCCCAAGAAACAGGAGTGAGAGATCTAGACGAGGAAGCGACAGGCCAGGGCTACCAGGATAACGTCGGGATGTGTATCAGTTATCAAAAATCAGTTTAGAAGGGACCAACTAATGACAGCTCAACACTGGTTTTTAAAAGTATAGAAGGTCTAGCCGGCATGGCTCAGTGGTTGAGTGTTGACCAATGAACCAGGAGGTCACCGTTTGATTCCCGGTCAGGGCACATGCCTGGGTTGTGGGCTCGATCCCCAGTAGGGGCTGTGCAGGAGGCAACCGATCAATGTTTCTCTCTCACCACTGATGTTTCTATCTCTCTCCCTCTCCCTTCCTCTCTGAAATCAATAAAAATATATTTTAAAAAGTGCAGAGGTACAGGAAGAGGGAGACATTGGCAGCTGGGAATAAGAAGCAACAACTAAGCAGCAGGAGATGAGATTTATTTGGAGAAAGGTCCATATCAAGCACATACTTACTCCCTCCCCTTAATACAAATGATTAGGGCAGTGGTTCTCAACCTTCTTAATGCCGCAACCCTTTAATACAGTTCCTCATGTTGTGGTGACCCCCAGCCATAAAATTATTTTCGTTGCTACTTCATAACTGTAATTTTGCTACTGTTATGAATCGTAATGTAAATATCTGATATGCAGGATGTATTTTCATTGTTACAAATTGAACATAATTAAAGCATAGTGATTAATCACAAAAACAATATGTAATTATACATTCAATATGTGTTTTCCGATGGTCTTAGGCGACCCCTGTGAGAAAGGGTCGTTCGACCCCCAAAGGGGTCGTGACCCACAGGTTGAGAACCGCTGGATTAGGACATCAACCCAGAAAGTTCGTGCCCATCACTCAATACACACACTTCGCTGTCTTCCTCCTCATGGCAGCATTTCCAAGAACTAGATCTACACACTTCCAATACTGCTCAGACCTAAGGGAGACTAACGAGGCGCGATGTGCCATCTTCACAGCCAATTATGTGTGTTTCATAGAAGCCAAGGCCCATTTCCCACACACGCTGCTGGGTCCGGCAGACTCCCAGGGTAGCTTTTGACTCAACCTAATAACGCTGTAACTTCTACATTCTCTAACTCAGAGAACAGTTCAAACACGACTCCCCATTAGAGACCCTTAAAGTTGTGGGGCCACTGAAATGCCATCTATGCAACAGCCTCTCCCAGTGTACGAAAGTGGGGCAGTACAAAGTGCTCTCATGTCCATCATCGAACTTGATTCTTAATCGGCGGGGATTCAGCAAGAACAAGAAAGTCCACTTTACGGCACGTCTGCTCAGCACCCACGCTCACGCTTAAATGTTAACAAGTGTATTTCAAATTCTTATCCAAGTTAAAGATGGGACTACCATCAGTACCACACAGGAAGGAGACTTTTAGCCTGACCTCCCTGGACCTGAAGATGAGAGAAAAAGCAGCAAGTCCAGTAGGTGCCTGACACCGTGCCTGGCTGGCAGGCAGCAGCTGTTCAGCACCGAAGTACCCTTCGCCTCTGGAGTGTGCAGGAGAATGGGGGTGGGAGGTTGGCCTTTCCACCTGCCACATGGCTAAGGTCACACGCTGAGCAAATCGGACACCCACTGGGACTTCCCCAAGGACACTATCCAAGGCAACTGGGGTGGTAGCTGGTTCAGAAGTAGGTGGACCCGTGGACATGTACACCTGTTTCTTCAATTACAAAGTAAACGAAGGAAAGTGCGTCACTCGCATCAGCATCGCACCCACCTCTGCATGGAAACCTGTTCCTCTGTGAGATGTCATTAGGGCGTCTCTACCAGGAGATGGTTCATGCCACAGCTTTCCTTGCTCCGCTTCGGAGTTGTTGGCTTGTGAATACATTTTGGAGAAGAATTAACACCCAATAAAGGGTTTCTCATCCAGTCTGCCCTAACTTCTCTCATTTGGCTAACTCACCCTGGACTCCCTGTCGTGTTCTTTTAAAAAACCAAACAAAATAGTTTTTACTAAATCCCTGCCCATATGATAAGGTGAGAGAGCACAGGGTTTGGAAAAAGACACACTCAGGTGTACATGGCCCCTCAAAAGACACCACGAATGGTTTCAAACCCACTGTATCTCACAACAGAAGTGTTCGTTTTATCTTTTTGAAATTGTTTCCTTCCCAAACCTACCAAGGCCATCAGCAAAGATCCATAGAGCACAAAATGTGGAGACCTAACAAACAAGTCTGCGGCGGGAAAGTGAGGGCAAGGGGGAACAGCGGAAGGAAAAGAAGACAGAACCCAGTGCGATCAGGACACAGTGCAAGGTGGACGGGCCTGGCCACGTGCTGAACAGGACACAGACTTGCCTCCAGAGCCCCATGGGAAGGCAGGAGATCAGTGCCCGAGGCGGTGCCCCCGGATCAAACAGCCTTCAGAACCAACGGGCAAGGGGCTGGGGGCAGGATGGTGTCCTCTTAGGAAAAAGAGAGGGACCTATGCCAACACCAGAGCAGGGCAGGAAGGACGTCAGGTGGGTGGGCTGATGCCCCTGGAATCAGGATGTGGGTCTAGTCGTGTCCAGAGACAAATGGGTGACTGAAGGCCGGAGTCCCGAGCCGAGGGCTTGGGCGGCCTCCATGATTGAAACTCGGGGAGTGTTTGAAGCACCTGCAACCAAATACCCACTTTGGCCGTCAAAACAGGGGTCAGAGAACGCGTGGCTTTGAACAGTGTGCAGTGGCCCCCGGGCAAATGTAAAAGTAGGCACAGATGTCTCGGCTTTGCGACGGGGTTGTGTCACCACCGGAGAAATGCCAAGCAAGGGCTCCGTGAAGGGGAGGGCCGCAGGGGTCTCCAACTTTAAGGTGCCAGTCACCTGGAGGTTTATTAAAACACAATGACATCACCGGGTCCCACCGGGACTGTCTGATGGGAGCAGGGCTGAGAATCTGCATGCCCAACTGGCCCCCAAGTGATGCTCAGGAAGCAGGATCTAGGGCCACACCTTGAGCGCCAGAAGCAGAGCAGAAAAGAAATGAACTTCCAAGGTGGGGGGTGAGCATTACTGACTACAGGCAAGTCCAAATCGCAGGTCCGCTGAAGCTCCAGAGCAACCTCTGCCTCCTGACAGATTCCGGCCCGTTAGGAGCTGCCAGTCCCCGGTGGGAGCCTGGGCTTTGGGACAGGTCACCTAGGCCCTTCCTTCTGTTGTTAGGTTGGGCCGGAGTTTGTCATCCAAGCTTGTCCCGCTTCAGACAACAGACCGTGTCCTCTGCAACTAGGAAAAAGAGCTCCTTTCTGCTTTCTGCAGTGTAGACGGCAATGTCCAGCGTCTCCAACAATGGTAAGAGAAGATCAAGGTCATTGAACCCTACAATGATCTTCTCCAGCACCCAGGGCCTTGCCACGGGCCTCACGCTCACTGGGGTCCTGACTTGAGAACTTTCTGGCATCAGCAGTACCAGGGGGTCCATTTTGAGTTTTGGCAGCTTAATCCCTAGTAGACTGCGGTCCACAGAAGAGATGGCATAAGATAAAAGCCAGGAGCCGTCTAGGCATGTCTCTCCTTAACTATGTGACCAAGTAACAACCTTTTGATTCTGGAGAAAAGAGAACTTGCTGAAAGAGATGGCATTGTGTTTACCTGGTGGGAGAGTGGAGAGAAAGCCCTTTCTTGGCTAATTTAACCTCTACCCTCCGACACGCAGAATTCTGCACAGGGTGGGAAGAGCATGGCTGGCCGTCCCCATGACCTGCTCCTTATGTCAGCCACTGATCTGTTTTACCAGGGAGGTTACTGAGGCTCAGAGAGGTTACGAAACTTGTCTGTGATCACACAGCGAGCAAGGAGCAAAGCCAGGACATCACCAGGGGTGCATGCCTTCAACATCAACTCCTTCATTTGCAGGACATAGAAAACAAGAATACTCACAGGAAGGTTACCAAGGTCCTAGGAGATACCCAGCAGACTGACTCTCGTTAGCAAGGGTCCAATCAGTGTCTATTCACATGGACCTGAACTGACATTACATAACGTGACCCTCCCCAGGATTAGCCACTCCATGTGTATAAGTAAGGACATGTCTTTGTTCCTGAAGCAGTCTCTCTATACAAATGCTCGGCCACTGTGGAAAGCTCTGCAGGCTACCACTATTCCCCACTTAATCCTCACATAATAATGCAATTCAGATGCGATTAACAAGGGCTTTCTCTCCACTATCCCACCATGTAAACACAATGCCTTCTCATTTCAACAAGTTCTATTTTTCTCCAGAATCAAAAGGTTGTTACTTGGTCACATAGTTAAGGAGAGACATGCCTAGAAGGGAAACAGAGAAAACAATACAGGCATAGCCATACACACATAAAGTTACCTTAGTTTTCTATAAATAAAATCTGTTAATACTATGACAACTGAGGTCTTTGTTTTTGCATCGAGGAGGGATTCAACTACACATTTCAGATCCAAACATGTGTTGATGGGTTGGCAGAAAAAGTAGGACAAGCGGGGAGTCATTCCTTGGCCCCGTCATTAGCGCCCAGGCCCAGGGCGGTGCTCCTTGTTCAGAGTCCCTTCCTCCTGGCGAGGGCAGGAGGCAGCGGAGGGGCTGCCGTGCCCACCTACTCAAGGGCTCCTCTACCAGGCTGGCACATTAGTGGCTGCCACCACCCTGCTCCTCAAACCTGGCAGAGCCCTCAGGACTCTCTCAGTTGGCAGAAGAGCAGCATGTGCCACCTGTCTGTGATCCCCGGCCCCTTCCCATCTGTAGGCAGGCAGAGTCAGCCCTGTCCTTGAACCTCCAGCTTCATTCTATCCCAGCACCTGACATCATGGGCCCTCCACAGGGAGAGGTCGGAACCAGGGCAGCAGTTCGGAAAGGGACAGCGTGAACTGGGTGGCCTGTGAAGCGAGAAGGGGACAGAGTGCACAAGGGACCCGGGAGCTGCCAACACGGAGGGGAAATAAAAGGAAGTCCTTGTTCCCAGGCCTCCGGAGCGCCTGGCCTTGATCCTGCCTGTGGGACACTCTGCAGGGTGGAAAGGACCGGCCTCTGGGCCTGGGCTCAAGTCCTGGCTCTGTCACGTCTTAGTGGCACAGTCCCCACGGGCCCCTTGCACTCACTGAGCCTGTTTCCTCGCCTGTGACATGGGGATGAGAAGACCTACCTCAGAGAATTTTTAAGAGGCTCAAGAAGCCGCTCTTGAACCCAGTCTGAACTGAGTCCCAGCTGTCACTCCTGGACTGCTGTTTTCAGAGTAGGGCTATGGTTTAAGTGCTCTACCTCTTAACAGCTGTTGTGGGGAGTTAGTTAACCCCGCTGCGCTTCAGTTTCCTCATCTGTAAAGTGGAGATAATTCTAGAGTACCTTACAGGTTACTAAGAGTCAATGGGCTCATATATGCGAAGGATTAGAGCACTGGCCGATACACAGTAAACTGCACATGGGTGGAGCTGTTCTTTTTTTCTGATGCTGTCATTCTTGAAATTTAACATCTGCACTAGACTGATGTGCATTCATTCTTATAAACACAGACTGAGCCCCTTTCACGTGTCTGACAGTGTTCCAAGCGCTGGGATGCAGTGATGACCAAGACAGACAAGGTCACAGCTCTCAGGAGGCTAAGTCCAGTGCGGGGGGCAGAAAAGAAACTATGTACTTGAAAGAGACCGTCAAGTACGAACCAGTGCTATGGTAAGACTAAAAGAAGGTGAGGGATTATGCTGTCAGGTTTTCCCTAGGCCTGACTGGCGTAAAGGAGCTAGCCATGTATAGTGGGGGGGAGAACGTTCTAGCAGAGGGAACAGTGATACAAAGGCCTTCTGAGCGCGGTGTGTCTGCAGACCAGGAAGGCCCATGTGGCATGAACACAGCAAGCAAGGCGGATGAATGGCCCCAAATGAGACCGGAAAGGAGGGAAGAGACAGATGACGCGTGGGCTTGAAGTCAGGGGGAGGGCTTAGGCGTTATTGTAAAAGTGATGGGAAGTCAGGCTAGGTGAGGTGGGGAGGGCTGGTGGCATGACCTGGATTATATTTTAAATAGGTCTGGAGACCCTGGATCAGGGAGTCACCCCTGGATCAGGGAGTTGCCCCATTTTAGGTACTTTCCCAAACAGCCCGAGAGTTAGCTACTAATATTGTCGTCCCTGTGTTACAGAATCATGGTGTAGAGATGAATTAACTTCCCCTAAGGCAGTGGTCAGCAAACTCATTAGTCAACAGAGCCAAATATCAACAGTACAACGATTGAGATTTCTTCTGAGAGCCAAATTTTTTAAACGGAAACTATATAGATAGGTACATTGTTATTAACTTCATTAGAGTACTCCTAAGCTGGCCTTTGCTAAAAACGTCCTCAATGTGATTGAGGTATGTTCGCAGAGGTCGACCCCTTCCAACTCTCCCATCCACACTCGTCTTGTATACTTGTTTCATCTCTCTCCTTTCCAAAAACTGACTTCTGCGCATGGGCTTTGCCGACCACTGCCCTAAGGCATGAAGTTAGATGTGGGGGGCTGGGGTGCAAACCCAAGGAGCCTGATCCCAGGGCCTGCCCGCTCCTAACCACTAACCAACACTGTCTTAGACGGTGGACTGAGGGCCAAGACCCTGCTTGTCTTCCAGGTAGCCCAGCCTGGTGCAGGATAAGCCCTCCATAACTGTTTGTTGAATGAACGATGTGAAGACACTCTGTACACTGAGAAATGCCATGTCAATATTCTTATTAAGAAATCCTTCAGGTTTTAGAAATTCCAACCATCTCAAGTTCCTTTTTTAATGCTGAACAGACTCTCCTGGGAAAGGGAACCCAGGGCAGTGAGGACATTTACTTGGTGCCCGAGGTCCTTTAACTAGAGGCACACAGCAGCTCCACAGACCTGGCCTGGGGCAGACCGGAGAGAGGTCTGCACTAAGAGAGTGCCAGCGGTTGGTTGGTCGGTCGGTTGGTTGGCATCTGGTCCCTGAGGGCCTCTCTAAACGGAGAGAGGAAGTCCCTTTCCCATCTTCTTTCTTCCTCATCTATTTCATTGTCAGTGAATGAATATAGTCAAGCATTTTCCTCGTCCAGGTGGGAAAATATTTAAAATATGGGCGGTCTTGAAAAGGCCTGATATGCATAATGTTTCTGAATGGCTGGAGGTACTTATTCAAGACAAGAGATTGGCCCTGCACTTTCCCACCCGCTTAATCTCCTTGGAGTAATTTATTTGGGCGAGCCTCCTTCAGTCCCAGAGGGAGGCCAAGTGGGATGCTCCCCATAAAATCCAGGACCTCCAGAGTCTCTTGTCCTAAGTCACAGAAAGGGGGGGGGATTTCAGGATGAAGGGGGGGGGGGGGGGGGGGAGGGTACTGGGGAGAGGAGGGAAGCCCCAGGCTGGGAGGGACTCCTAACATGGCAGTCAGTTGGACCCTCAATCCCTGGGGCTTCCTCTCACTTTGACAATGGAGCAAATCCCCCTTTAATGACTCCCACTCCTCCCAGTAACAAATAACACTTATTCTAACCACAGCCCACAGTGAGTGTTCTTCCATAGATTTATAGCTTCTTTGCTCTTCACAAGTACCTGTGATGGGGGCACCCTGACTTACTTCATGTGACAAGTGAGAACATTGAGGCTCTTTAAAAAGTCAAGACAAGCCCTAGCTGGTTTGGTTCAGTGGATAGAGCTTCAGCCTGCGAACTGAGGGGTCCCAGGTTCCATTACGGTCAAGGGCACAGGCTCTGGTTGTGGGCTCCATCTGGGGTGGGGAGGTGCTGGAGGCAGCCAATCAATGATTCTCTCTCACTGATGTTTCTATCTCTCTCTTCCTCTCTGAAATAATGAAAATATATATAAAAGAGAGAGAGAGAGAGAGAGAGAGAGAGAGAGACAGACAGACAGACATAGAGGCCTTAAACTCAGAGAACCCCAGATCCAACCTCTGATCCAAATCTGTGGGGGCTGTTAGGTGCTTTATCTATCCAATC